TATCTCCACGTAGATTATTTAAATAAAATAATAAAAAATAAAAAAAAATAAAAAAGGTGGGAGCCAGGGTGCAAGCAGAGAGGGTGTTCAGGGAGTGTTCAGAGGGCATCTGTGGCTGAACGCCAGTCTCGGCTGCGGAGCGACTTGTAGGCGCCTTCCTTGAATGCCTGCATTCCCTTCTGCGTGGGAAGGTTGCGTAGCAGGGCAGATGGGAGACGATTCCAGTCTTGGATCGTGGCATGGGGGAATGATCGGAGAGCACTATTACGGGCTCCGGCGGGCAGTGTCGGTGCTAGTTGGTGCTGGTGCTGGTTCTTTTGCTGGTGGCGAGTGGAGCGCCGGTGCTGGTTTGCAACTGCCCTCGGTGGTGTCATGGTGGTCAGGATTGGGGGACCGTCGATCCAATGCAGCTTGTACAGGAATGTGAGTGCTGCGACTTGACGCCGAACAGTGAGGCTTGGGAGGTATGACCCTGGGCCGATGAGCTTTAGGGCTCGGTGCTGTACCCGGTCCAGCTGGTTCAGGGTAGACTGGGACGCACCCAACCATGAAAGCGGGCAGTACTCAAGTACTGGGCGGACGAAGCCGCGATACACTGCATACTTGGCCTTGCTGTCGAGAATGGGCAGGGCCTTCCTCATGAAGCCAAGACGTTGGTGACCACGGACTGCAACCTGTCGAATGTGGGAGCGAAAGGAGAGGCTCCGATCAAAGAGCACTCCGAGCAACTTCAGCTCCTCCACTTCCTCTATGGCCACCCCATTGAAAGTGGCTGGAGGAATCGGCCAGGGTTGACGGTGATGCGAAATTGTCAAGACTTGCGACTTTGTCGGCTCGAATGCGATCTTCCAGCTCTGGCCCCATTCAGCTAAGGCATCCACAGCAGTCTGGAGCTGCGCTAGGCCAACTGGGAGAGCGGTCAGGGATGGGATGCACTGATAAAGCGTGGTGTCATCTGCATATATGGCGAGCTGGGTTGTGGCTGGGAGGTGGTCCTCCATGTCATTGACATATAGGAGGAACAGAGTGGGGCCCAGTATGCTCCCTTGCGGCACACCTGAGCTGATTCGGAATTTAGGTGAGGTTTGTCCACTCACAACGGCCTGGATTCGTCTATCCGCCAGGTAGCTGTGGAGCCACTTGAGGAGGTTCCCGGACACTCCGTAAGCCTTTGCCTTGTGAAGGACACCTGCGTGGGAGACTTTATCGAAGGCCCCCGCAATGTCGACGGCAACAATACGTACAGCACCGCCAGCAGCTGCTATCTTGCTCCATTGGTGGTGTAGTCCTGTTAGGAGATCAGCAGGTCCTAACCCTCGACGAAAACCGAACTGGTGGTTTGAGAGTATATTATTTCGTTCGAGAAAGTTGGTGAGAGCACGGTTAACAACTGCTTCCATTGTCTTGGAGATGAGCGACAGGAGGGAAATGGGCCGATAGTTCGACGGGGCTGACTTTGACCGTTTCTTATGGACTGGGACGACACTTGCCACTTTCCAAGACTGTGGTTGTGTCCCCGACGTCATGCACTGGCGGAAGAGCAAGCATAGTGGCACTGCAAGGTGCTCAGCGTTGGCTTTGAGGACTCTGCCCGGAACTGCATCAGGGCCTGACGCTTTCGAAGGATCAAGGGCCCTCAGCAATTTACGGACCTCAGCAGGGCGGAAGCGAATACTTAGGAGACGGCTTTGGGAGCGAGGCTGGACAAAGGGGAATTCAGATTCCTCATTGAAGTCCTGTGGGCCGAGGCTGCACTTATCGGCGAAGTACTGACCAAGGCACTTGGCCTTCTCCTGACTGGTTGTGTACTCAGTTCCATCAGCAGATCGGAGTGTTGGTATATCAGCGCTGCGGCCCTTGCCACCCGCACGCTTGATAGTGGACCACCATTCCTTGTCCCGAAGGCTACCAGTGGTGAGTTTCTGCCGGAGCATGGTAATATGCCGTTCTCTGTTTCGCTGGATGGTACTGCGTGCAGAGGCTGCAGCTGTGCGGTAGTGTGCTTTCTTATCAGCACTGTCGGGATTTGAGCGCATCTGGTGCCACATCTGTCGCTTGGTGTTGACTGCAGCTGTACACTCCGGTGTCCACCAAGGTTCGTCGGAGGGGCGCGATGAGATAACTCTGTTGGGTATGAATTGTGCCATTCCTTCGAGGATCCTCTTGGTGATGTTGTCGCAGCTGAGATCCGGTTCAGGTCCGAGCATGCTCTCCCAGTCTGTTGTTCGGTAGAAGTGGGCAAGCCGCTCCCAGTCTGCGCGGTGGTATCGCCAGACTCTACGCGATGTCTTGGGCTCACGGGTGAGCTTCACAGGAAAGTCAACTTGGAGGACAGCATGATCAGAGAGTCCAATAGGCGGGTGTGCCTTAACAGTTGCTGGTGAAGGGAAATCAGACATCACCAGGTCCAGGGTGTTATCACCTCGGGTGGGTACGTCGACATGTTGACTCAGGCCATGGTAGCAGCAGATATCCTCTGCATACTCTCCAGCTCGGGTGGTCTTGTTGCTGCAGAGCCAGGCAGCGTTATGCACATTGAAGTCGCCGGTCACAATGACATTTGATCCGTAGGTACGGGATGCCTGCAGCGTGTTGTCCAAGTATTCCAATAGCTGGAGATCTGTCTCCGAACAGGACCCGGGCCGATAGGCTGCACAGATAACAACTTTCTGTCCACTCTGCGTCGTGACACTCAGCCAGATGATCTCGTGATCATGGCACTGGATGTGATCAAGATGTTCATATCCTAGGCCAGCCTTCACCCAGACTGCTACTCCACCACCGTGTGCAGAGCGATCCTTGCGGATGGGGGTGTGATAGCCAGGCATGGCTGCTTCAGATTCGCTGCACTTCTCTGGCGTAAATTTTGTCTCTGTGACTACTGCTATATCTGGCTTCAGGGTCTGGAGGGTGTGGCGGAATTCTGCAAGCTTGGACGATAGGCCAAAGGCATTCGTCACCAAGAGTCTGAACATCGTTGGTTGGCTACTGGGCATCGTGCATGCTAGACGATCCCTTGAGGGCACCAGACGATTCATCAGTGTGCTGGAACTCACCAAGTTTGGATTGCAGTCCGAAGGCATTTGTCAGCAGGAGCGTTAGGCTTGGGGGAATCATTTGGATTGCTGCTCAGTGCGTTCCTTAAATCGCCATGGCCTCGCGTACAGGGGCCTTGGCCAGAAATTCTCAGTTGTGACCAGGGTGAGGTCCTTAGCGTCCACAGTTAGGTGGGCAGACACTCTTCCTGCCTCCGTGGTGTGGAGGCTGCAAGTGTGCACCGTTGCCGTACCCCCTGCTGCAACTGCACGCTGCTGGGTGAAGCTTTTCAGTCCCTCCTCAGTGCAGCTTGAGCTTAAATTGCCTACATACAAAAACTGCCCTCCTGGACCTGGGAGGCTCTCCTGACACCAGTTGCCAGCTGTCGTCGTCTAAGACCTCCAGGACTGGCTTGGAGCGATGTTTAGCGCTCCTGCTGTAGGGGCCCTCAATGCCAATGTCAATGATCTCAGAATTACTGTCTTCCTCACCGGACGCCTCAGGGTCACTGCCAGTGTCACCCACGCTACGGGGCTCACCCGTACTAGCAGTACACGCGGCAGCCTGGCCTGTGCGGGTACGGGTACGATTTCTTGACGATTTCGTAGATCTACTCTTCGTACGCTGGCTCTGCTGAGGAGCTTGAATATTTGGGAGAACACTTGCCTTGGCAATGGCGGCTTCCTTGAGGGAGACAACTTCCTGAGTCAGGCCTGACACTTGCCGCGACAGGTCATTGATTCTTTTGTTGAGGCGATCCTCGCGATCGGCCGACTCGGACGCTAAGTTCGCCAGGGTCTTGATAACCTCAATCACAGACGACTCGATACCCGGGAGGGAGCACAACAGTTTTGTCTCTACCTCTGAGAGCCCCTTGAGGGCGGCCTTTGTAGCTGGGGGCATGGCCGCCAGAGGTGGGTCAGCCCTACTACACGATACTAACTAACTAATACTGCTAGTGGTCCTCTTGGCCACGCCGACGGGCTGCCAGAGACTGAAAAACTGCGGAGCTCAAAAATTTGCTTCCACTTCAGAAAAAACCAGGGTGCGATGCAGCGTTCCTCCTTTATTCCCAATCGAACATGGTTGAACAAGCGGTCACGTGCTCCTGCGTACACCAGTCACCTGGTCACCGTGCCTGCAGGGTACAACTTACTAGCCTGTTTGACCTTTTTTGGGTGCAGTCCTGTCACTCGAGTTGAACTCGAGTTGAACCCTGGTGTGAAAGTTGTCGCCTGCTGGCGCGGTGACAAGGTGATTTGGGCACCCAGGAGCACGTGACCGCTTGTTCAACCATGTTCGATTGGGAATAAAGGAGGAACGCTGCATCGCAGCCTTTTCGGACCAAAACCAGTCGACTCAGCGTCCAAAAGACTACAACATATGGGCCAATCGCGGTCATCCGTGCTTTTATAAGAACGAAATGGCGCTTTTAGTGACATTTTGCATACAAATCCCCATCTAGTAGGGCGCAGTCACCCAGTTTCGGTGGAAGTGCGCGAGTTCGATTGGGATTCAAGTAGGAAGGGAGCGTCGCAGCTTCCTCGGACCAAGACCATTCGACTCAGCACCCCGAAGACTACAACTGGTGAAATTTTATTTTTTGCCTTAACTTCCCCTTTAACTTCCCTGTTAAAGCTCAAATCGGCGCGGAGAGTCTACACCTACCTCACGCAGTACGAGTTACACGGATACCGCTATGCTGTCGTATATCACAGCGCGCGGTCCTGATCACAGCACGCGGAAGCGTAGACATACATATAATAGACTCAAGGTGACAGTGATAGACATTATTATGCATGTCTACCATGGTCTACGCTGCCGCGTACTGTGAGGACCGCAGTGCTAGTGATGGCTCGAGTACAGTCAGTGTACTCTTGTACTCTTGCAATCGATTCATTAGACAGCTAGCCTCAGCATCATGTTGAATATTATTCTGTCTGCTTGGCGGTTGTATTGGTGTATTATTCATCACTGGCGGATGCTCTGAACCTGAGGACAAAGTCAAAGGCAGAGAAACGTGCCGTGTGGTTCCACGGCAGACGATTGCCAGTACTAGGCAGTAGGCAGTAATCATGGTAATGGAGCTTCTGCTGAAAGTTCTGGTATGACCCGAAACCTGGTGCTGGGACAATCTGCTCGCTAGCATGTTTTGTCTGTCACTGTTCCTCTTTAGTCTTGGTCGATACAGTGGAGAATGAGAGCTAAAAAAGCTTGTATTGGCTGGGATCGACCGATAAAATTATAATAAGTATTTCTCCAGCGGAGTGTTTGTGCGGAAAGCGCAAGGAGATATTCTTGGATGGGCATGCACTGGAGAAGAAGCAGGCCTCCAGCAATGAACAGGGAGAGGAGACGGTCTGCCTTGAACGACTGCTGTCGGCTGAGTAGTACAGCGGGATGCATGCTGCTGTTGCTGTTGACGTTATATCAGCGTGTGAACGTCGCCGCGGAGGTCATCCAGGGTGAAATCAATACTGTGTATGAAGACACGGTTTGGGATAATCACGAGGACACGTTTTCCTTTACATGGACGTCTGTTTCCTGGCCGGTGCAAGGCACAGGAGCCACCCCTCATCCGCGTCCATTACGCGTGTCCGTGTTCAGTGGAAATGCAAGCGCGAACCACCACCTGACCGTGTTGGTTCGATCACGAAATGCTGCAAAAGAAATGTTCTGGTCGATTCCATTCAGTGCCGAGGGGCCTAGTTCTGCTACATATAAGAATAGCTCCAGAATCATTTGCCCAAATCTCCCAGTCAGTACGGACTCGGGTCGAGTGAATGGCACAGAGAACTCAACAGCTGGCGTGAATCAGACAGTGCTGGTTGAAATCGCAGCCACGACTGAAGTCAGGATTGGATACACACTCCTTGCAGCGCCGGTGGACGATTTTAACCTAGCTGGAGGAAAGAAACATGCTGTGAGCCTGAGCCCATCTAGTCCAGCGTACTACAGTTACAGCTTTCAGCCCGGTGATGACCAGGTAACAGTAGAGATTGAGGCAAGTGAGTCAACCTGTGGCATAGCATCCGTGCAAGAAGCGTTGTGCCCAGTGTTTGACCTGGCAAGCAATATCCAGTACTCGGGTGCATACCAAACATTCAGCTCGTCTGCAACATTGCTGGTGCAGCGCACCGACTTCCAAACTGACTCATTCTACATTGTACTGGCGGGTTTGTCAAGTGATGCACAGTGCAGCTCCAGGCATCGTCCTCAATACGAGGATGGAGCGGACGCGGCACCATTCTACAGTGAAACAGTGTACATCCGAGTCGCAAAGCATTCACAAAGTTATACGACGCCAGTCATCGTGCCCTTGGTAATCTACATTGGTATCTACATCTCAACGTTGGTTACACTCGTCATTTACTACTATGTGTATAAGAAGGATATGGGCGATGTTTCGCTGGCTGGATTTATCCTAGGCTCTGATGTACATGTAGTGATCCCAGACACCAATGACGGTGCAGGCCGAAGCAGAGGAGAATCGGTTCGAAGCACTGCTTCAGTCTATCATGACGCCCAAGATACTGTCCCTTGCACAGGAAGTGGTGAGCCAGAACTGACATCAATGAGTGTCAATCACCAGCATGTTGCTGGTGGCGAGGAGCAAGTTGAAGCGGCGAATGAAACTACTAGACCCGAAGTTCAATCCCCTGCACAGCCGCCATGTGCAGCAGCGGATGCAGAGCAGGGACCGAAAAAGACACGTTGCACACCACCATGCAAGGCTAGGATCCCAACTTTGAGCTTGGCTCATGTTGAGAAGACGCCACCTGAGACAATTGACAAGCAACTCAACAATTCACCCTGGCTGATTGGTATCGTTGGCGTCTACTACGGAGTTCCAGTCATACAGTTGGTAGCCAACTATCAACAGGCTATTTTCAAAACGGGAGACCAGGATCTCTGCTACTTCAACTTCCGCTGCAATCGCCGCTATGGACGCCTCACAGCGTTCAACGCCGTCTTCAGTAACATTGGTTACATTCTGCTCGGCATACTGTTCATTCTTCTGACCATACGCCGTCAGAGGGTATTCACACGCACTGTTGAGCGCAATCACCAGCGGCTGACTTCAACAGGCGTACTGCATCACCATGGTCTGCTGTACGCCCTGGGCCTGGCATTGTGCTTGGAGGGTGTTTTGAGCGCATGCTATCACGTCTGCCCGACACCAGTGAACTTCCAGTTCGACACATCTTTCATGTACGTTATTATTGTTCTCTCGTTTCTGCACCTCTACCAGAGCCGAAACCCAGATGCTATCAAACCAGCACATCATTTCCTGGCGTTTCTATGCACGGTGGTCGTCATTGTCCTTGCAGGTGTGCTTGGAAACAGCCAGATGTTTTGGATTATCTTCTTCATTGTCTACGTGGGTGTTGGTCTGATTGTCCACATCCGGATGTGCTGCACCACCGAAAAACGTCTGAAAGAGAGATTCACCGACGCCAGCCAGAAGAGACCTAAACTTCGGGAGACCTTTCCACGGTATGTTTATCTACTGGTATCGGTGCTTTGGAACTTGGGCCTGGCTATATACGGCATCGCGGGTAGGCCAGGGGACTTCCCCACGTACATGCTGGCGATTCTAGGAGGCAATCTCATCTGGTATGTCCTCTATTACTGCATTGCGTTAAAGGCTTGGTACGGTGAAAAATGTTTGCCTGCCACAGGTGTTTATGCTGCGGCCGCTGTTGTCTTCGCCATCCTAGCAGGGTATTTCTTCAAATCAAACGTCTCTAACTGGGCCGAAAGTCCTTCTGGCTCACGAAAGCTGAATCAAGACTGCCTGCTATTTGATTTCTATGACAATCACGACCTTTGGCATTTCCTGGGAGCCATTGCCATTTTCTTCTACTACCTTATCTTGTTGAATATTGACGACCCACTCGAAAATGTTCAGCGGAAAGAGATCCCAACATGGTGAGTGGTGTACAATTAATGTCAATTATGGCTTTTTAGTCTTTTCCTTGTTTCCGTATTATCATGGTCAGTGTTCGATGTTCTAAATCAAATGATGTACCAAAATATGGTGCTAGCCAGCTCATTCACGTTTCAACACGGACTGTGTTTCTTTGTCTTTGCGCCTGCATATACTTTGAGGAGGGTTGCTACAATTTGTCAATTGCTGATGAATTATTTCTTTGCTACTACCTCTTCTCAGAAAATCACTGGCCACCAAAACTTGACCAGTTTTTGTTCATCACTGCACGTAATGTCTGTCCAAGGCTGCCCCAGTTTACAATACCTGGTCCGTCAGCACGTTAACACAATCATTCATTCTGCATGTTTAGACTACATTTGCTACTTTCGTCGGTATTGGTGCTGTATGACATTTTCTCTTAGCCCTGTCTTCTGTTTAGCAGTTAGCAACTTAGCACTGATATTGCGGTGCATCTTGGTTTCCTGGTCACTTCTTATACTGCAAGTTTACTTTTGATTTTTCTTCTCTATGATGCCCTTTAAATTGGTGCGATTCTTTTACCACTCAAGGAGGGAATCCCTGAGACAGCTTCAGTAACGCAACATACAACTTGCAAGTACGAGCATGTGGTGTCCGTTGTAAAAGTCATAATTGTAGGCTACGAGCACCGACAAAGGGAATGAAGGAGAAAGAGAAATAGATAGCTGAATTTAGAGAGAGAGCGAGAGAGAGAGAGAGAGAGAGACAGACAGACAGACAGACAGAGAGAGGGAGAGGGAGACAGAGAGACGAGAGACAGAGACAGAGAGGGAGAGAGAGAGAGAGAAAGAGAGAGGGGAGGTAGGTAAACAGAGAGGGGGAGGGGGGTAGGGAGACAGAGACAAAGAGATAGAGATGGATGGATGGAGGAAAGATAGAAACCGCCTTTATTGATTGCACTAATTCCTTGTTAGAGGAAGTGCGAACATTTGGCGCCAGAACAAGCGAGTTTCTTTCCTCCCTGCAGCAAGAGCAAGCTCTTCCATTTGCCTGTCCCTCCAGGAAATCGCGATTCCACGGACGCAACAAATTTCGCGATTTTGGCCCAAACCCGCGATTTTCTGAAAAATCCGCAATTTCCCGCGTTTTTTGTTGTTTTCTGCACTTCTTTTGACATTTTTCTGCACTTTTCACGCAGTATACAGTGCTTTCCATGATCCTACTCGTAGGTTATTTCCACAGTAGGCAAATAGCGATTCTAAAGGATACAACAAATTTCGTGATTTGGCCCAAATCCGCAATTTTCTGCCAATAATTCCGCGAGTTCCTGGCAAGTTCCGCACTTTTCGCCGCATTTTTTGTTGTTTTCTGCCGCAATTTCTTGCGCAAGTTTTCGAGGATTTTTTCCGCAAATTCCCGCAGGGACAGATTTGCATTGAGCACATTCTCAGACAGGGCAACCCGGCTGATTCGTGAACCTACTTGCTCCACTGTCAGCTTTCATTTTTATGGTGTTGTTGATAAGATAATACAATTATGCACATACTCAATCTGCGGACAGAACTCACGGTGTCGTCTTTTGTGGACTGATCAGCGCAGCACAGAGGAAATGAGGCCGAGATAGCAATGAAAAATAATTTTCCAAAGCCAGATTTAACAGGCCCGAACAATAATTTCCATAAATGTACAACTACTCTCTCTCTCTCTCTCTCTCTCTCTCTCTCTCTCTCTCTCTCTCTCTCTCTCTCTCTCTCTCTCTCTC